GTGTGTGTGTGTGTGTTGTGTTGTTGTTGTTTGTTTGTTGTGTGTGTAGTATATATATATATATATATATATATATATATATAAATGTGTGTGTGTATGTATGTATGTAAGTATGTATGTAAGTATGTATGCCAGTCTTATAAGTATGGTTAGTGGCTGGATGTATAGTGTTCCTTATCTTTTATGTTTCAAGGTTTTAAGAGTTTAGCGTTTTAGGGCGTTAATATTTCTAGTGCAATGCTGGTCTTATAGATTCTTCTTTGGCGAATGTAGCGTAGTTTAAATATATTAATACATACATATTACTTCTCGATATTCCTACCGGGTTCGGAAAAACAAAACCTCAATTTTGGGTAATGCCACACGTCCAACTTTAACTGCCGTATCCTGTTACTGGCAGAAGCGCTCCTGCAAGTAGATCAGATTCACTGTACCAATTAGTGAGTAAGCCAGGGCTTTGCATGCAATAGGCTGTACCTATTCCATGACATAGTGGATGGGTCGCACCTATTCCATGGCATAGTGGGTCTGTAATTTAATGGATTACACTTATTTCATAGCAGATTGGGTCTGTAATCCAATGGGTTGTACCTATTTCATGGCCGCGTGGGTCAGTAATTTATTGGTTTGCGCCTGTAATGAGCCTCGTATCTACCATCTTGTTTTTAATCACGAGCAGTTTATTAACGACCTTGCCGAAACAATGGACGTCGAAAAGATATTAGCACGTGCATCGCAGATATGCCACGAGGTCCGCAATTCGTCTGATGCAGGTAAACTACGGATAATGCGTGTGCTTGTAGTGTTTCATGTCACTGAGCCATTGTACTTTATATATGTTTTGGATGTATGTATATATGTATGTATTTGTGTGTGTATGTATGTATTTATGTATGTATGTATATATGTATGTATGTATGTATGTATGTATGTATGTATGTATGTATATATGTATATATATATATATATATATACTGATATTGTGGTGGTGAATATTTGTCTGATTAACATACGACGCTTAAGTGTACCGGCAAATACTCGTGCGATTATTATTCCGGAGCTATGATGTTTTGTGGTTCCTATATTTCGTGATTCGCGTGTGTGGTCTTGTAGGTTTGGTGTAGTGTATTGTCCGACCGGAACATCATTTACCCACGTTTGTACGACGTTAGCTCCCTTCTGCACGACTCGAGTCATACGTTTACTGAGCATTGGACCGCTACATGGGAATAGTCCATCTAACCGTTAACGTATTTCCGTCGATGTTCAAGTAGTTTGGGGTATCTAACATTCATTAATGCCACTTCTGCATATGCCTGAGATCACGCACGTGCTATTGGTAGCCACGAAGTAACCGATTCACCCCCAGATGTTAGTGTAGGCCCGATTAAAACGTATATATTTAACGACTAAGATGTTTCAAGTTGCAAACATTCTCCTATTACTACAAATACGCATACACTGAAGATTTTATATCAATATTGGAATTTCATTTAAGACAAATGCGCATATTGAATAGAAATTACGAATAGGACAAATGTGTATACTCAATAGGAACTAGATGTAAGTTTATTTTTGGATACTGCATGAAACCTAAACTTCAGACATGTGGGTATTATATAGATACTACAAACAAAACAAATATGGATATTATATAGAAACTACAAATAAAACAGATAGGCATAGCGAATAAAGACCAGTCGTTTGTTGTGCACTACAGAACGTTAATGCATTCAGGACCAATCCGTCTCAGAGTATATATTCATGTTGTTACCATCCCTACAGCAGGACTCACGGATCTTTTCGAGGTTCCTCATCGGAAGGAAAGTATTGGCTTAATGCGCAGGGCGTCTGTTCCCGAGTAGCATATAAAGCTATACCATGGATGAATTCAACTTTGTATATATATATATACGTACATGTATATGTATCTGGTATATGTATACAATATTCATATATATGTATATATATATATATACCATGGATGAATTCAACTTTGTGTACATATATGTATATGTTTATGTTTATGAATATGTAAATCTATATGTATAAAATACATATATATCTATATATCTATATATCTATATATCT